TTTGAATAATATTACGGTTGGGCAACAGAAAATCTGAGCTCGCCTCAGTTACTTGAAAATCTCTATACCATGGAGCGGAAACGAGTGAGATTCAAACATGTGCTTCTTCTTCAAAAACAATACATAGACAAGCATCACATTTGTTTGTGAGTTAGTGTGTATGTATTGTTTGTGAAGAAAAAGCACATGTTTCAGGTCCACTCGTTTATATGTAAATTACATAGTTTTTCCGGCTCCTCTATACATTTGGATTTCACACGAAAAATTCACGTAGCTCTTCGTCCCACTTATGCTTTACAAAGCACAAAGAAATAAATGATTCAAACTTCAAAAGCTTCTGGAAACTAAAAAAATAAATAAAAAAGAACTTATATCCGTAAGTCTAACTTTCCGCACTGTTTGCAAATTTCAGACTTACGGATGTAAGTTCCTTTTTATTTTTCTGTAGAAAAAAGCCTGTGCAAAGTTTCATTTCATTACGGTAGCATACAGGCATTGCTCCCATACAAAAATGATTGAATATTCGTCAATAATAATGATAATAAGGGACGATTCTTTTCATACATTCGTTCACCTCAATTCAATAAATCGTGTCATTTTCGTAAATTCTGTATGGAGACCCCCCATGGGGGTGATGGGAGGGGGTGCCCAATGGCATAAATGAAATGTACGCAAAAAAATTAGCTATAGTTTGGTGCAAAATTCCGGACCGAAAAAGTGAAAAATCGACTTCGTAAGATTTGACCCCAAATGGAGGGCACTGGGGATAGACACAATAGTGGATGAGAAAAATATCAATTCTAAGGTATTTTGGCACGCTGAGTCGAAAAAATCATATCTTGGGGGTTTTGACCCCCGGACCCCATTAGGGGGTGGGGGGGACTTGGAGGGCAGGTGACCCAAAAAATGTCTCTCATCATTCTGAACAACATCATAGTGCATTAAAGTACATAATTTTTTGGTCCTACCATTAAATTGGGGTTCAGAACCAGTCTGGGTATACATAGTATAGGGTGTAAATAGGGGTTAAAAGGCTTTGAGTCAAAAAACTAATGATGCCAATTGATAGAGCACTGAAAACAGTGTTCGCAACGGAGGCGATTTTTCAACTCCGGCGCCGAACGACGCCGAGGCTATTCAATCCGACGCTGACCGGTCTCCGACCGGTTCGGCTCGGATCGGATCGGAGTTCGGAACTCCGAAAAAATCCGATGAAAAACTCGTTCCGACGCCGACCGTTCTCCGACCATCCTCGGAACGGATCGGAGTCGGCGGTCGGTCGGCGTCGGAGCTCGGTCGGAGTTGCGAACTCTGCTGAAAACTATCTTGGGTGTGAGAACACCCCCAGGGGGTGTTTCTACCCCAGGGACCTTAAATCGGGGTCGGCGTATCGGACCCAAAGGGGGTAAGGGGGTGTTAGGGGACCAAAACCAATGATGCCAATCGATAGAGGACTGAAAAATAACCCGAAAAAGGGCGAGGTCTGAGGGTGTTTTTCCCCTCCTTAACCCTCAAATCGGGGTCCGAATATATTTCGAGAGTAAAAAAAAATAGGTAGCCCCACAAAGTGGGGAGGGGTAGAGCGGGTGGTCAAAACGAATGATGCAAATCGATAGAACGCTGAAAAATACCCTGAATATGGGTGAAGGGTCATGGGGGTTCTCCGACCCCCAAGACCTTAAATTGGGGTCGAAAGATTCAAACCAGAACACCTCCCTAGGGGTGGAGGTGTACGAGAGGGGGTCACAACCCATGATGTCAATCGATAGAGCTGGACTCTGGTGTTATAGATTGGGGAAAATTTGGGAGGTTCCTCCATTCTCATGCCTCGAGAACCAGCGTTGACACGTTTTTTTGACAAAAATTTCTAAAAGGCACCCCCAAAGTTAGGGGGTCAGACAAAAAAATTAATGCCCCTAATCGATAGAGCACACCATTTTACCTATATAATGACACTATTTCCGGAATCATTAGCCACCAGATGCTTACGTTCAAAATTGATTCAATTTTACCCCCTTGTGCCCATCTCTGATTGAATCTGAAGAAAAGGAAATAAATTTAATTGCAGAATAAACATTTTGCAGTTCAAATAATAGAGTTTGAAATAAAATTATTAAACATGACTGTTTAATTTTGTGTTCTCTAATATACCTCTTTTGACGCCAACACACATAATAAAAGTACAAACAGCTTCATTTTGATTGTGAAATTTTGAACAAAACGAATTATGTTCCAAGAATGAACTGTTCTTTCCCCAGAAATGAAATCGTTATATACAATATTAGAATGTGTTTGTGTTATCGAAATTTAAAATAGCATCAAATTTCTTATAATGTGAGTAGTTCATTGATCGGCATGGCCTTGGATTTTGTAAAAAAAAGAATTTAGTAATCATCTGTAGCAAAATGTGATGCAATATCGTATTAAAAATGGCATTTGTGATAATTCAGCCGTCTGCTGGTTGCAATCTTTACTGCTCAGTTCGATGTCAAATAATACAACGCAACTTTATTATTTTACCATTTTTTGGATATCGACTTCAATTTTTTTTTGTATTTTCATTCGAATTCATAGCAAGCGATCTTTTTTTTCACCGAAATAACGAAATTCAGTCTCTGCGAAATATGTAAGTTGTGATAAGACAAGCTTGTGTTAAAATTGTTTTCGTTTTGTTTATCAGGGAATTTCCAATGAATCAAGTAACATATTTTTGAAGTTGTTGAGTTTATTTTATTTGGACCAAAATGAAAAAAAAAAACATGACGCATTTTCAAGTTTGTTTTTTAATTAAATAGCAACTTTATCATTGCATTGGCCAGACGTGTGATTCAATCCACTCCAAGTAGTGGGCAATTCTGGTGTAAACGGCTGGTAGTTTAAAATTAGATTGGAGATCAAATGAGGCAATACCAACAACAGTTGCTGTTCTTGTGTTACCAGGGAAATATTGTAATAACCCACCAGCATCGCATTTGCAAGTTTCATTTGTTCCATGTGCATCAAGTGCGCAATATTGCCCTGCATTCAGACCATTTAGAAGATACGGCTGTTTTAACTGCTCGCTCCAATTCGTCGAATTCGTCAATTTTATATTGCATTCCGATAACGGCACCGATTCCAATTTCATTTTACGTAAGCTCTTTGATCCATCATTCACTTGAATTGCAAACTTAATGATTAAATTCACATTTAAAAAGCTTAACATTTAATTATAGCTTACAATCAAGTGATTTGGCTTCCCATGTTGTTAACGTAAGCGGCTCATTCGATGGCAAGTCATTCACATCTGTGTGTAAACATGCCGGACTAATAAAATATGAAAACGGAATCTTCTGGGCAAGCTCTATCAATGCGATATCATTCCATTTGGTTTCACTCGAATACTTAGGATGCTTGAAGACCTCCTATTCAAAATAATTCACATAAGTTTTTCAGGTTTTAAAAGAAATCATTTTTTGGGGAAATAACCTTTACAGCACGATTTACTGTCCTAGCTTTGCCATTGTTAATCGATTCCTGTTCGATATTAATATATTAGACAATTAAGTAAAATTTATTCTAAATTTCTTTTGTTACCGTTCCCATTCGAACCAAAGTCGGCTTCTCCAACGATACACAATATGCGGATGTTAGTACGAAACGTTCCGAAATGATGGTACCACTACAGTAAAAGTTCACGGACTTGTTTTGGTTGGTATTCGCATAGCCAAGAGCAACCTAATCATTAAAAATTTAAAATGGAATGAAAAAAATCGTGATTTTTTTTTGGTTTGATTTTCAAACTAATGCCGTTTACATAATTAATTTGATTTATCAGTTAAAATGCTATTTTAATGTTTGGATGAGTCGTGAATTCACTTTAAATGAGACTTGAATGAAAAAAATGAACAAAATATAGCATGGAAATTGAAGCCTCACTGACACTTTTGCTTAGAAAGCACTAAGAGTAGATCGTGATCGCTACAAGTCTTGAATCCATCCGACTTAACTTGAATCATTTTTCTATTCCAAATGTTAAAAATATTCAATATATTACCATCGATGGAAATTCTTTTTCGTCCAGTTTTGTATACATACTACGCACATTTGTATAGTTTCGACAAGCTAAGTCCATAGAAAAAGTTGTGATTTAGAAACAAAAAATGTATAAAAATAAATTGAACTTCATTACCTTGTGTTACCGGCCGAATTTGAGGAGTTGGAGGAGTTGAAGAAACAACAGTTACACATGATGGCGTTGTATTTGGAGTTGGAGCCATTGTTGTAGGCGGCATTGTTATAGGCGGCATTGTTGTAGGCGGCATTGTTGTAGGCGGCATTGTTATAGGCGGCATTGTTGTAGGCGGCATTGTTGTTGTAATACCATATAAAAGTATATAGATCATATATTGATTTCCTGCGTAAAAAGAGAAGAGATTCATCTTCATTAAGTTAAGATGTCAATTTGACAAATATAATTATAAAATATATACCTTGCTTAACAGCAATATCGAAAGCGGATTCATATTTATTATTTCTCAAATGGATATCAGCTCCGTTTTTCCTTAACATATACACGATCTCCTCAAAACCTAGAGAGCAATTAATCAAAAATGTCATAAAATACCTTGAATAAGTTTTCTTATAAGTCTTAATACCTCGTTCAACTGCTCTATGTAATCTAAAGTACAAATAAAAGATTTTGAAAAACAAATTTCACAATAAATTCCAAGAACGAGATTCAAATAGTTGCTGTACTTACGGTGTCCATCTGCCGGCTTCTTGGATGTTAACGGCAGCACCGTATTCAAGTAATATTCGAACGACATCTTTGTGGCCTGAAATTTGATTGAGAAATAATCAAAATTTTCATTTAGTTCGTAAAGGAAATTGAATTCATGTCAAAAAAATAAATAAATCAAACCTTCCGATGCCGCCGAGTATAATCTGAAGTGCAAATAAAAGATGCAATAATTAGACAAATTTTTACAATAAATTTCAAGAACGAGATTCAAATAGTTGCTCTACTTACGCAGTTTGACCGTCATCGCTAACAATGTTTACATGTGCCCCGGCTTTAAGTAACATTTCAACAATTGGCAGAGAACCTATGGAAATTATTATTGAATGTTTGGAATTACTTTTGCATTTCTACGAAACATTTTGATAAAGCCAACAATCACTCACCCCGTTTTGCTGCCATAATAAGACCTTTAAAAATTTAAAAGAAATATATATAAATATAAATGCTTTTAATAATTGGAAAAATTCATCGAATTTACATGTATAATTGTCAGCTTTCGGAATATTCACATCGGCACCATTTTCGATCAATAGTCCAACCATATCGACGTTTTCTTTAAGAGTGGCTGTCAAAAGCGGTGATTTGCCAAATTTGTTTTTTCTATTCACATCACCACCCTTTATTATCAAAAGTTTAACTACATCAATATGTTCTAGAATCAAACATATTCTGTTATTATTTGCATTGTGAAAGTGTTTAAAGTGTAAAATTACGATGTTCAACTGCAGTAAATAAAGGTGTACGTTCACCACTATCTAAAATATTAACATCTATTCCATTTAGAAGCAGTTTTTCGACTTTCTTTACATCACCTGTGTGAAACGATAGTCTCGATAGATTAAAGCTTTTCCTGTTCATTTAATGTCTTCTATTTAAAAAGTCATCGATTTAAATTACTCACCCGTTCTAGCCGCAGTGTGAATCGCTTTCCATGAATTTCTATGAGAAAACGTTTTTTTAAAAAGATGGTTTATTTGTTAAATTTGTTGACTTGTAATCAAGTGATTTCTACTTACTCGTTTGCATTTCTCTTGAATCGATGGCCTATAAATGTTTGAAATGAAACGATTCTTAATTTAAGAATTACACAAAATAACAAAGATCTATTAATATACCTGAAGTGCAATTGATCAACACTGCGCCAAAACATAAAACGATTGGTATGAGAGTTTTCATCGTTTGAATTAACACGAAATTCAATTGCTTACAATTCAATATCTACAATCGAAATGAATGTAATGAAAAAAGAAAAGAAAAATATAATTTTTTTTTCAACACAATCTTTGCTAGACTGACCGTAACCGAATTAAGATGAAAGTGAAATGATCGTTAAAATTTACATTTATTTTAATCTGACTATATATTTTGATACCAATTTCGCACATGAATTTGATAATGAACTCCCCTAACATATAAATATATACTTTTGAATGTGAGTAATATATAATCGCTTATGCGAACGTTGATAACAATTTTTTCTATATATTGTATTATTGAGAATCGTCATCAACCGTGATAAAGAATTGTTTTAATATTTCAAAGTAGTGCATTGAGATGATCACGTGGAAATACCCAATTTATCATTAAAAACCACGCTGCCCTTATGATCCTTTATTCATTTATTTAAAAAAAAAAAAACGGGAATTTCCAACTTTAAATTAGTCTGTGTATAATTTGGGCCGTGAATTTCAGTGATTTTGCGTAATCACTTATATGTGGGAAAAAATGATGTTTTGACACATTTAATCATATTCCGAAATGATTTGAATATAAATGGACCCCAAAGTATATAATCTCAGCAAATTTAAAGAAATTTCAAAGAAAATCAGGGTAATTTTGTATGGGAGCCTCCATTGGGAGGTACCCATTATTTTCATTGAAATTTCTCCAAACTTTCGGAATATTATGTTTTCGAGAAAAGTTAAGTTTCACCTCAATACGATATCATACAGAAACGGCTCACATACAAAAATCCACGACAAAAAACTCCCGATACCAATTTTCACAAAAATTGATTACGAGACATTTCTCAGAATAGTAGGAATGACTAATCCCGTCTTTGTTGATTTTTTCAACTAGGACAGTGATATTTTTTTTCAAAATGTTGAATTTAAATTTCGAAGAAAAAAATTCTGTTTATAAAGAATTATGAGATAGGCCAACGGTAGAGATATGTACATAGATTCTGACGTGGGTCCATGGGGCCCATATTGCGCCCCCTTAAAAGCGGCTCAAAAATTACCCCCCTTGATTTTTGATCATATTTTTGCTTGATTAATTGTCAAATCAGCATCTTTCAAATCGAATCGAATGTTACATATCAACTTTTATGCATTGAATTATTCAATTTGAATATAAAGACTTAAGCTAAAGTGCTATTTCTCTGTTGAATCTGGCCGAAAAAATCGAAAAATAAATCGAACGAAACATACAAAAATATTTGCTTCATAAATTATCAGATCAGCAATTTTCAACCTGTTTTTTCCAATTTTTTCTTTCAAAATATTTATTTTTGTTGTTTTTCAGAGATTTTTTTTTTTCAGAAAAATTTTAAAATTACCCCCCC